TGCTAAAAGAACTTCTTAATTTATACTTTAAGTGTGTGTTACACGATATCTGCCAATTTTGATCATTTTTTCTTGAATCGTTTGGCTTCTCCTGTATTTTTTCAAGTACAATATTAAATTATCAGTCTAGATATTAAGTCTTATTCAGAAATTTATATTAACATAACATAGAAACAATGCATTTACGATACACGTGATTTTTCAGGTCTTAATACAAAGGTTACCTGTAACTTGTTTGCAATTATCTAAAAAGTTATATTTACCCCCTCCGCCCCTCGCATAAAAATATATTACGTTAAAAATGCATTCCGTTTTTTGCGAATGTAACAGAAGCCTTTCTCAGTTAAGTCGAGATAAAAATCCAATAAAACCACGTCCGCAATTGTATGACCACAATTTTTTTTATCGCCCACATTCTATTCCTTTCGAGAATAAACAACGAGACGTATTTGATAACACAGGCTTCCGCGGCGGGCAACAAATCTTGACGTTGGAGTCTATGTTGACATAATTTCAATGTCTGGGCCAATCAATCGATTGATTTACTCAAACATCGATTGTTTATTGTCGCAATTTTTTGAAACACGAAAGTTGACATTAAATAACTGCGAGAATTTATAAACCTACAGGAATTATATTATTTTACCAGACTACCCCAGAATATATAACATCACCATTATTTTAATAACAGAAGTTTTTAAATTTATAGTAATAATAATATATGTGTATTAGTACAAAAACTACGCCTAAATGACAATATTATTAAAATACCAAAATCATATTTATTATTTTCTTAAGAACTTAATACCCCATAATTTAAGATTTACTGTAGAATAAAATGTTGTAAATAAACAGACATATTTCAATAATTATTTAGTGATTGAAAAATTAAACAAATAAAAATTAATTATAAATAAATGTTTACATCTAAAAAGTAGATATTATGTGTGGTGATCGAATAAAAATACAAGATATCACAACTTCTTTCTGTCCGCAGCATATGGAAATCAAGCACAGTGCACCAGCGCCAGAGAAGGAAAACCTATATTAAAACTAACTACGTCTTCCTCTTATGGCAAAAAACTTCTATACAGAAGCGGAATATTAATAAATTATTAAGGAAAAAAAGCTACACTACAACTAACAGACAGATGTAGCATATACCTACCCTACACATACCAAATTACTTGCATCAAATTTGCATTCGTATGCTTCTATCATTCATATCTATCATGCTATACGTATTTATATTTTATGTATACTTTTATTTTTATTATGCCTGACCGGTTTCGCTTAATAGTATTCTCAAAGATCTATAACAAAAAATTGTGGAATAGTACAAATGTTCTTGCAAAGATTATAAACTCGAAATTCCACACTGTGCAAAAAATCAACACATTAATAAAATCTACTGTATATCTCTATCTATCATCTAATATGCTTTTATTTATTAACCACCTTAATGATCAAAATAACTATACCAAATTTTAAACAAACAGACAAACAAAATCACTTTCACGTTTATTAGATAGGATTAAAAATAATAAATAGAAAAAAAATGTAAAATGTTTTTATTAATACTTAGCGATAATATGAGAACTTAGAAGCGCATTTTAATAATTATTAGATTCCATACTCCATAGAAGCTTATCATGTTTACTTTATAGTTATAACGTTTTTAGGGTTCCGTACCTCCAAAGGAACAACGGAACTCTTATAGGATCACTTCGTTATCCGTCCGTCCGTCTGTCAAGACCCTTTTACTTAGGAACGCGTGGAGGTTCAAATTAAAGTATCAAGTTAAAATTAATATCATATACTCAGGTCTGCAATTTCTTAAAGCAGTGAAAAAATCAAGTTTCGAAATCGACGCAATCAAAAGATACGGTCATTTATGTTCTACTAATATCGCATATTTTGACATTCGCAAAGGGAATCAAAACTTAAAAGGTACTTCCCGTTGACTTAGAGTCATAAAATTTGGCAAAAAGCAATATCATGTAGCACGAGTAAAGGAAAAAATCTGAAACTTATAAATTTATAGTTATTTCACAAAAAAAATTAAACTTGATAATTTTATACGGAACCCTCGTTGCGCGAGTCTGACTCGCACTTGACCAGCCTTTTTTTCTACAAATCACATCAAATCAATTATCATTGAATAGATGTAATATTTTTTATTTGTGATTTCACCTTCTCAAGATCTCTTTGTGTTGTAAAAATGGAAAGAACTATAATTCTTCTAGTTAATACATACACAAAGTCTATCTAGAATATATTTCATACCAGCTTTTCCGCGACTTCATCCACGTGACCAGGATAAAAAGTATCTAATATTCTCCATATTAAATAATATATATACTTTTATGTCCAACTGTTATGGCGCAAAAAAGTAACAAATAAACTCACTTAAATACTTATAAAATTAGTAGGGACAGTTAAGGAAATAACACATAATTATAACAAATGTAAATTTATTATTTATATTGTTATGATAGCATCTAAATAAATAAATTATAAAAAAAAATTGACAGAAATTATGTGTTTTGGACTGGTGATTATACCCAACCAGTGTCTATGTAACTACGTTACGGCTTGTTGAACAAACGTTAATACTTAGTTGCAAATATAATCAACCTTCACTATATTATTTATTATTTTTAACGGTTCCTAAATATTTTATTCTCTGTTATAGATAGATTTTCAATTTGTTTTATAATTTTACGCGACTTGTAGTTATAGTCCAGTTTATTGTGTATTTGCAAAAAGCTATTGAAAATGTATAAACAAAGAAAAACTAATAAAGAAAATATAGAAATTCTTGAATGACCATAGACGATTAGTAGAGCCACGAGAAAAAAAAATCAGTCTAAGATTTACAATATTCATTACCCTTTTATGTTTATTTTTTCCGTCGATTTCAAAAGGGATATTATAAATTACACTTTTTCCTGTACATTGTAAAATATCTTTGCCAATAATGAAGTCAGCTTTTTTGTGATACTTGCATGGTCATATTTTGGCTTGAAATGTGGTAAAGAAATTACAAGATATGGAGGCATAAGATCATAATCTTTAGGAATGTAATACACATGAGGAATACCATAGATATCATTTTTCATTCTGCCATATTCATAGTGCCGTTCATTTTTAAAGGCAATAGTTTCCACTTTGCTTCAGGTGAATTTTTAGTGTGAGCATACCGTGTGGTTCCGGCATAGAATAGACCACCCCTAAGAGGCAGCTAAAGGAACTAATACTCAAGGCATACAATACTCATGGTTTTTTGAAATTTAATCTCGTTTCAAAAACTTTTTCTGTCGTAAGTAGGTACTACCTATATTATTCTAATATGGTTTACTATATTTCAAAAAAAATAATACGGGTATAAATAAGTAAAGGAAATATTTCTTTCAATTACAAATTTAATATCCCATTATTAAATACCGTAGCGATAGTGGTAATACATCATTTCATATTTAACCCAACCATGAAAAACTATTAAATCCACGTAGGTATATAAATCCAATAAATAATACATAGATCCTATATACCCATATATAGAAATAGTACCTATGTCAGTTACTGCATTATTTGATTCTCTTTCATATCACATATATTTTCTATTTTTTATAGAAAATTTTTAAACAAACAAAACGCACACGCAACAAATTCCGCGATTACGATTATTAAGTTCATTCGGCCCATCACACCCCCATGATTTGCCACTACCTAAAGTTTTTATAATGTTATATTGTTTATTTATATAATATCAGGCAACGAATGTATGAATTACGTACATACATTTCAAAACTAATCATATTGCTTTGTGTTTTAGATTAAATAAGTACATTATATACATCCACCCTTTGCGTAGTGCTGCTCCAATCAAATTTTTTATGAAACGTTATGAAAAGTTAAAATAATAATTTTTAAGCTAAACAATACGCATTGTGAATATAAAATATGAAAAATACTAGTAATTTCATCTTGCAATTTTTATATGTATTTTTCGCATTTATTAGTAAATCTCCTCTAAAGTTTTTGTCTTGTTTACAAAATATTTTACCCAATCAAGTTATAAATTTACGTCTAACTGCTTGATCTACTTATTGCTACTCTATTGTACTTGGTCTATTGAACTGAAAAGTGATAAATCATTTATAACGAACCCTACTATTATTTATATATCAAATTATAAGTTATAATTATATATTAATATAAGTAGACCTCCAAATCTACGTTTAGTATACGTTTTTAAGCATTGTGTGTATACATTAACATAATTGTATATTTAAAACACAAATATATGTAATTATACATATACAATTAGCATTAAATCCGTCTTTCGTACTAAACTTTTTTTGTAAATATAGTCAATATATAATATTTAAGAAGCTCTTGCCAAATATATAAAATAAATATATACATATTAATAGTTTTTTTTTTTTATTTGAGAGCAATAAAGAACATTATATTATTTGATTGTATATGAATTTAAATTCACAACAAATATTAAAATATATATATACTGTTTGAGTAACAGTTGAACAATTTTGTATGAAACGCCGTACATAGGCTGTATCTACTTTATCACAAAGTATATTATTTAATCCAATAAATACCTATTAAATTCCAGACATCCAGTTGAATTACTGATACTATGTATATTAAATTACATGAACCCACAAGTCATGCATAAAAATGTATATATCAAAATACACAATTTATACTAAATTAACTAACTCGAACATTTCAAAACTTATTACATCAAAATTCAGATTTGTAAATACAAATTGTTTCGACAATTATACATTTTCAAAATTGATCCAACAATCTACGAGTGTTCGCATTTTAATAATTAAAATTTGGTTTATTTATTAATTAATCAATTCATGAAAAAAAACTTTAAACTCCATATATTTAAAGCAATTCTACCCGCATAACCAAAACTGAATTAAGTAATTCTACAAGACATAGTTCTTATAATTAGCACTTACCAAAAAACTTAATGAATAACACTGCCATGTTTATGTAAAATTTAATTTAAAAGTCTATGTTATAAATTCTTGTCACGATTATATTTAATTTTCACTTCTATACGAACATTTTGTTCCGTACGATTGCGGACGCGCAAATCGACGCTCGCGGAGTACGTGCGCGCCGGTACCTAGGGCCGGTGTGCCTGCAGGTAAAAGCGATGTTGATTCAACAACGTGTTCCACACCGAATGCGAATCATACGGACGGTGATCTGACGAAGCTTGGCAGGTGAGTGGCCGTACTGGTCGGCCCGTGTGAAAATTGGAGACGGGGTGTTATTGTAGCGTTTCCGTTCCGGAAAAGTTGAAGAAAAAACACAAAAGTTTTATGTTCACATGTACGTTGCATATTGGCATTTATAATGCCTAACATTAAGTATGCGTAAACGCAGGACTTAGAATTTTTTTAAATCTTTTTTTCTTTTATTATAATGTTATTGTTACTTCTTAAATAAAAGTTACAATTAACACAAACTAAGGAATGTTCAATTCATATTTTTCAGTGTTTATGATGCAATCAAATTTTATCCCATATACTAATTTTGCCATGTATTGTTTTTTTAATAGTAACGTATGTAAATAATCCGTCCACACTAAATCAAACTATTATGTTTTTTGGTAAAATACTTGCTTGTTAGAAATAAAAAAGACATGAACATTGCAGAAGGATCGCAGCTCCGACCTGATTGATATCTTCATCAATTTCTTCAATTTGTCAAAATATTTCACCAGATGGATGGTCATCTTCATTGGCACACATTCCTTCACCTGGGCTGTCCACGATTGAGACTGTATTTTTTTGGTTTATTCTTACTCCATCTGACCCATCACCATGAGCTTCTCAAAATTGTCGTAATTTCTTAATATTAATGAAATTAATAATTTACTTGTTATTCCCATCTATGTATTTGTAGCGGTTATGAAATGCAAATGGAATTAGTCAACACTTAACCACTTAACCACAAATTTACTCTTCCAATTATGTTGCTAGTGATACTTGTAATGAGACAGGAAATTTTAAAATGTTTCTCTAAATTAATATTGTAAAGAGGAAAGATTTGATTTTTTGTCTTTTTTTATTATCTAGCTACATACTTTAGCTAGTAACGTGGGTTGTATTTTATTTAAAAACAAAGAGATCTCCTGTCTTAATCTGTAGTCAATATACAAAAAAATATGTATATTTAGTTAATAATATATTGTATGAATATTTTACAAGTTTAATTTTGTTATAAAATTAAATCTAACTAATAATAAAAAACTACCCGTGTGAATTCGAAGCGGATTGCTAATATATTATCTAGATTTTGTTTCACTAAAAAATACCAACTTCAATAGTGGTAAACCAATTATTATGATTAATACCTAAACTACTGAACACGTATATGTTTTCAAACAAAGAAATAATTTTCCAAATGCTTTATAGTAAATGACAGAGTTCGGAGGAAATAAACTTAAAAAAAAAACAATTGCATTGAGAACGTCCTCTTTTTTTTTTAAATCGGTGAATTTTTTTTTATGCAACTTAGAATAGCAAACAAGCTGACAGCCCACTTGATGGAAAGTAGTAACCGTCGCCTGTAGACATGAGCAGTGCCATAGACATAACAGAATATACTGTTTCGCCCATGAAATCATAGATGCGTTGCCATTCCGGAGGACTCAGGTGTTATTCCTCTGTACCCTGTAAATTCACTGCCATATGAATGAATGAAAATTTATTTCAATAAACCGTAACACTTACATATACTTAGATTATAAGTAATAACAACATAAAAATAAATAAATAAAATATAGAAAAAAAAGTTTACATTTATAAAGAGTAGTTGAAATCAGTCAGTGTTATGGTAATGAAAAAGGATGCCAATTCAGCTTAAGGTTCCTGCAAAAGCAGAAACGCTGATTTTCAATTAGCACCTCATCACCTAGCCCGGTCCATCAAAATTATGAATAAGTAACACAATACACAAACATACGCATAACAATAGATAAAAAACAAAAATATCAGTAAACAAAAAAAATAAGAACAAAAAAGTTTTAGACCCTATGTGTAAAATAAAACAAGTATCCAAGCCTTGACAATAGCTGTACGAAAAAAAACACATTACATTATTTCCAAATATAAAATCTATTTTTATAAGACACAAAGAATTGGGGATAAAAATTTAAAATTCAAATAAAGCATCGTCCAAATATTAATTACATATATTATACCATACACAATATATATACATATATACACATACATACACACTATATATATATATATATATATATATATATATATACACATACACATATAAATATTTATTAGATGTACACATATTTTTATGTTATATCCTAGCCAAATAAAAATTATTATTATTATAATAAAAATTATGTATTAACAATCCGCTATCTTTTTTTTTTTATACAACTTAGAATGGCAAACAAGCTGACGGCCTACCTGATGGAAAGTGGTAACCGTCGCCTATAGACATGAGCAGTACCATAGACATAACAGAGTATACTGTTTCGCCCATGATAACCCCCATGCGTTGCCATTCCTGAGGACTCAGATGTTATTCCTCTGTACCCAGTAAATTCACGCCATATCCCTTCAAACCGAAACACAGCCATGCAGACACAACTACTTCACGATAGAAACACGAATGGGATAGAGGTGCCCAAGCAAACGAAAAGTATTATTATACTGCTAGTTATATGAAGAAGTTTTAAATCGCTCAACAACCTACCAAAGGAACTCAGAAATTCGCTGCATTCAAATTAAAATAACAAATTTAATGAAAACTCCAAAAATGCAGCAGCAGTGGCAATGAACTAGCGACATCTCTGGTATTATAAAACGTTTAAGTATAAAAATGCAAAAGTGCATTAGTAATGATGAATATGTAACTATGGAGGAAAAAATAATACGTAAATTTGGAGGTCAATAAGACAAAGTGCAACCGTATATAGACTTGGAGAGTAGCAACTATGTTATTGACAGTGCAATTAGCGACAGACTATTGTTTTTAATTGATGTGGAATTAAATGGCGTAGACCTAACGGAGAGGAATGATTATGGCCCGTCGTGGCGAATTCACTATTTCTGATGAATTCTCCATAAGGATCACGTGGAGGTCAACCTAACACAATGTATTGGAGGAGAGGCATTTTTTTTAAAACACAGGGGGCAAACGAGCATGCGGCTCACCTGATGATAAGTGACTACCGCCGCCCATGATCACCCACAACACCAACGGCATTGCAGGTGTGCTGCCGGCCTTTTAAAAAAGAATATGCTCTTTTCTTGAAGGTTATGTTGTCGTAACGAATCGGAAATACTGCTGCTGGAAGTTGATTCCAAAGAATGGTTGTGCGTGGAAGAAAGTGGCTCGAAAAACGCACGGTGGAGAACCGCCACTTGTCCAAATGGTTGGGATAAAATTTTAGTAATGAAAATGTTAAGCCCCATTGCTAGAAATACCTAACTGAAAACTGTAGTGTTTTCTTGGTAAATCCGTCATAATGAGATAACCTGAGGGCCTACCATGAAATGTTTTCCGAAATTTCGGGGCTGAATCAACACAAATTTGATGTTAAAATTGCATGATACATACCATTTAAAAATGTTAAAATATTTGGACTATTATGATAGGATCTATGACGAACGAAATGTTAAGCTCCATTTACTGGACCGATTTCGATATGAACAAAAACACGAAATTCAGTTTGAAAATTCGGAATTTCATTTCATTCGCCCACTGGTGCCTCGCCAGCGTATACTAATAGCACAGGCAGAGTTACCATTCCATTATCGTATTATACAAAATGTATTGTTAACAATGGGATCTGGTTACTAACAATACGGGACGTATGTTTAAGACTTACCCTTTAAATGGAAAGTATGTAAATATTATTATATGTTACACATCTCCCATATTTAGAACTAACAGAATTTTTCATCGTGCCTCCCACCAAATTGTTTATAATTACTCCTCTCCATCCAAAGGTTGCCTGGAAGAGATCGCTCTTAGCGATAAGGTCGCCCATTGTTTTTATCGCATTGTGATTATTTCTTGTAATTATTTATATTTATAATATATTTACTATTGTAATCTTTTAGAGGAAACAATAAAGAGTATCTATCTATCTATAAATAGTGTAAGTTATTCCTCATGGAACAAAACCCATAAAATATTGTCAACTAAAAACCTTTTCCTTTTAATGCCCATTAATTCCATTAAAAAAAGTGTTCATATGGAAGTAATAGTGTATTCCGTTAACAGAATATTTTAAAATGACTACCTACACATTTCTTCGTTGGAAAATATTTCGCTCGAAGAACATTTGAACCTTTTCCGTGTATAATATAAAACTTACCTTTGCGTAGGAATAGTACAGATCTTTGATCCTTATATTTCTCTGCCTACCTCGCAGGACTGACACCTAATTAACTAGGTAACTACTTGCACATTTCATTTTGCTTTTATATTTTACCTGCGACTTCGTCTGCGTGACCTAGATATATTTACTAAACGAGTTAAAAAGCTGCCTATGTCCTGCTCCATCTCATAATAGAATCTCTCAATTTCATAGTGATTAATTAAGTTCGTTAAGGTGCCAAATGGTAATAAACAAGCAAACAAACTCTCTTTTATAATTATAATATTAAAGTAAAAAATAAGTGAATTAAATGCAGGACACGCATATCCTATCTAATAATTCAACAAGATTAAACAATACTTATTGAATAAGGTCATCTGTAAGCCGAATTTTAATGACCGTAAAGGATAAAGGAACTTGAAAAATTGGGTATATGTACTTCAGAGAATCAAAAGTTACTTTTATAATTTTCAATAGCCTTTGTCTACCACATTAGCATCCACAACAGCTACAATGACAACAACGAAAATCTTGATATTTTATTTACCTGAAGTGTGGCGGAAAACCATCTGTTTTGGATTTAAGATTTTTTAAATATTGAATATGTTAACGTGATTGAAACAAAATAAAAATTCAAATACCATTACGATTTATACAATAGTTACAGATAATTAAAATCATGAATAATATACATACATATACAACGATAAGCATAATAATGATGTAGTAACGATTGAGTAATTTGTAGTAAAAGCTGATTTTGTTGACTTTGCGATGGTATCGACAGAAATGCACGGATACTGATTTTTTTTTTTTGTATCTCCTAAAAGACGTAAAAGTTGTTTATTATGAATTTATCTAAAAACGTACATGATCGAGTTGAAGAATACTTTATGAACTTCGGAATATACCTTTTATTCCCACAATGTTGGTATTATACCTGCTCATCACCGGCGATGGTGCCACTTACTTTTACAAATATCTTTCTAAAGTTCTGGCCTTATTACAGGAATATCAACTTGTCATAATGCTTTATGATTAACTTCTAATAGTTTTTCACATTGTCTTAAAATAACCATAAATTCACGAAAAAAGTCTTTAAGACAATATTACAATTGCTTAATAAATAATTTAATTTATAATATTTATTAATAATAATAAGTGAGGATAAATCGCTGCAAAAAACGAAAAATGGGACCTCTGAGTTCGACTAATCGAATGCCGATAGCAATGATTCAGATTCATTGTAAGAAGGTTAGTAGTTGTGTCCTCCAAATAAAACTACCCACCCAAACCTAATCAAAACAATGCTCAAAATATCACGATCCTAAGTGTAGATACTACGAGGTTTGTCCGGAAAGTACGTATAAAAGTTTTTTAAAAATTTTATTTTACAATTATTCAGGTAAATCAATTTTATCCCCTTCAAAGTACTCCCCCTGTGACATAATGCACTTGTGCCAACGCCGTTTCCACTGTGAGAAGGCTCCTTGAAAGTCCTCTGGTTGTAGGTTTCTCAGCTGCCCCGTCGTAGCTTTTTTTATCTCATTTATGTCCCCCAAATGCCGCCCCCGAAGTACCAATTTGGTTTTTGGGAACAAGAAGAAGTCACATGGGGCCAAATCCGGCGAATAGGGGGGTGTTCGGTCACCGTAATGGAATTTTTACTCAAAAACTCACGGACAACAAGAGAGGTGTGGGCAGGGGCATTGTCGTGGTGAAGAATCCAACGCCCCTCTCGCGCCAATTCTGGACGAACTCGTGCCACACGAGCTTTGAGGCGTCTGAGCACATCGACGTAGAATTTTCCATCAACTGTCTGGCCTGGAGGGACGAATTCTTGATGGACAATCCCCCGAACATCGAAAAAAACAATCAACATTGTCTTGACATTTGAGCGGGATTTTCTTGATTTTTTTGTTCGTGGTTCCCCGGATGTCTTCCACTCTTTGCTTTCACGGCCATTCTTGCCGAGTTTCGAGAGAAACTTGATTACGACGCGCTGCTCTTCAACGGAAGCGGGCTCCATGCCGACGGGGTTTCGTTAAGAGGTAACTTCACAGATGGCGTGACAAGCCAGTTCGCACCGCACGGCGGTCAGACCAGAACTGAAGCATTGTTAGGGACATAAGGAAGGGGTCCTGCGCTTACCTGGCCTCCCCACTCCTCTTTCTCGCATTCCAGAACACTTTTATACGAACTTTCCGGACAGACCTCGTATAATGCATTAATAGAATGCACTCGTAAACCAAGTATCTCATTTGACAGATTTTTTCTTCTATCATATGTCACAGCGCAGAGTGCTTCCGCCAAAAACAAAATTTGGAAAAGCGCATTTTTGTAAAGGTAGTTTCGAACAATGGAATTTAGAGTAAGGATCAAAACATTCAATGATGGATATTGTTAGGTGAAGGACAGATAGCTGAATAGGTATTACATTAACCTTAGAAATATATATATATATATATATATATATATATATATATATATATATATATATATATATATATATATATATATATATATATCAGATAAGATCCGTAATAATCTTCAAAAAACTAAAAGACTGGGCCAAGAATTCGCTCAGAGAACTCACTCCATCTGATCTTTTTAATAAAATATCAATCTTATATCGGCCTGGTTCTACAAATTAAAAGAATACGGAATAAATTTAACAAGAAATTTTTAGTAAAAGAACAGAATGTGGTGAAGTGAGACAAGACAGAATGATTAATGAAATATTTAATGAACATCTTTAAAGCACTTTAATAAAGGTTCCTCAAAGCGCAGAGATTTTAATTGCAACAACAATGCTCTGATGTCCATAGTATAATCCCTCAAAGGGACAATAAGTTCTTGACCTTAATATGTGAAATTGTTTGAAACGAAGTGAAATGATTTTTTTTTGCTGTGAATGTGCATAAGCGAAGTTAAAAAATAAAGGATATTTAAAAGATAATAACTTATTAGCAATAAGCGATTACCTGAAGAGTCTATAAATGTATTACTGAATACAAATCGTTCCACGTTGACTGCTACTTATAGAGACAATACAACTAAAAATTTCCTAAAAAAATACGAAAAAACAATGTAGAAATAGAATAATTAAACGAGAAAATTCGCTAATAGTTACAGATAGGTCCCGAATAGACTGTAAAATGCATAATAGATAATTAATATAGATGCAGAATAGCATCAATATATAGTTTGAATAGAAATATAGCAGAGACGTAAAGTAATTTTATAAATTACGACATAGCACTGTGATGCGTGTTGAGCGATTTCGATTGATAAACTGACGCCCCGCGTCGCGCGTCATCCGATCTTATACGAGGAATGTTGTTTAAGATGATGATGAGAATGATGTATAAATTAATGCCCTGTCTTTCTATCTCACTCTAACATACTTGATACTCGTGAATTTAATACAAATAAGTCCTTGTCGTATATGAAGCACTATTTCTATTTCTCATTATTTGACCGTTTACGAACTCATTTATATTCGATTTAGCGGACTCTGACCCAACAATATTAATTAAGGAATCACTCCGATCCCAGTCCAAGCAAAAATGAAACTCAATATCTGTAAATATCTGTTGTAATTTGTAAAAAATATGTTACTTATCTTAAGTACCTACTTTTATTAACATTAATAGTCTGATAGGTTATCATGATAGGTTACCTATTATCAAAAAATTAGTTGGAAAATGGCTATGAAAAAGCAAGTACCACAGTACTAAACAAATTAACACATCGACCGGATCTCCCATTGACAGTGACAGTCACAGAGTATTTTTAAAACACCCTTATCAACAGCATCTGTGAGTGATTGTGACAGATCTGGACAGATCTTTTAATCAAAACATTGATACAAAAGAAGGGGTAAGTAGATTTTATTGTATTAAGATAAATGGGTATACGTGAAGTTTGGACTTTGTTTTTCATTATCATTCAGTAGCTTAACTTCAGTTGAATTGAGTGCTCGCTCCTAGCTAATCTACTGATCTAATAATATAAACTTACTATTTACTGTCGGCCCTGAATGCCGGTGAATACAAAATATTGGAAATAATTGATTTATCATGTTGATAGGAAGGCTTGCTCAGTTAACAATTAGAAGATCTATACACGTATCATCAAAATTAACACAAAGTATGACTATCGACGGCAATACTATATTGGCGGAGAGCCTGAAAAAACAGGTGAGTTTGATGATTTAATTTTCATATCATACCACAAGGACACTCCATTATATCCAATCAATCAAATGATTAATGATATTAATTAAATAAAGTTACCTACTTCATTGTAAATAACGATAAAATATCAAAAAGAATAAAACAAAAATTACACTTCAAACTTTTATAAGAAATTCCAGTTGCAATTATGTATTTATTAACAAACATATGAACACTTATTTAAATTTTTGTTATGTTATATTTTTTTTTATTATTACCAGTGGAATATATTAACGTAGGTCTTTGTTGTTGATATTAATTTATTTAATTCTTTATTGTACACACCAATTATTTATAAGAATATGACAGAGGTAATCAAATGTACAAAGATGAACTTAACTCTAATAGAGTTTTCTTCCGGCAAACCCAAAGTGGAAAAGAGCATCAATGTTAGCAGGTAGAACAGTGTACAATATTGTGACATTTTTTAACAAAGAAACTATAAAATATTTAATTACATTATATTTAATCATATAAATACACATATACATAAATATATACCTACATCTATGCATATACTTATACATACATATACATATAATCCTTACATACACTCCTCGCAAAAATTAAGGGAACATAAAATTTTTTGAAATTTTTGGGTGATTTTCAACAGGCTGTATTTCAGTGAAAAATAATCGTACAGGAAATTTAAAAAAAGGGTTTTGTAGCTTGAAAACTCTAGTTTTCAGATTTTTTGGTGAAAAAATTTTTTAAGTTCCGGTTTCCATGCAATTCTTAAACAAAGCTGAAAATATTTTTTTTCTAAATTTTTTAGGTTTCGTTTTTCATTCTATGGGCATGGAAAAATTTTTTCGAGCTACTCCATTGTATAGGTCTCTTAGCGTGTTTATTCAGCTTCAAAAATCGCTTTGGATGGCTCAATTACGACCATTTGTCTCCGAGATATCGAACTTTGAATGCAAAAGCATCCTTTTCCATTCAACTGCTAATATCTCTGGAACTACTGGTCGCACAGCAAACGGGCGCCGAGTTTCTTTATTTATTTTATGCAGATAAAGAAACTCGGCACCCGCTTGCTGTGCGACCAGTAGTTCCAGAGATATTAGCAGTTGAATGGAAAAGGATGCTTTTGCATTCAAAGTTCGATATCTCGGAGACAAATGGTCGTAATTGAGCCATCCAAAGCGATTTTTGAAGCTGAATAAACACGCTAAGAGACCTATACAATGGAGTAGCTCGAAAAAATTTTTCCATGCCCATAGAATGAAAAACGAAACCTAAAAAATTTAGAAAAAAAATATTTTCAGCTTTGTTTAAGAATTGCATGGAAACCGGAGCTCAAAAAATTTTTTCACCAAAAAATCTGAAAACTAGAGTTTTCAAGCTTTAAAACCCTTTTTTTAAATTTCCTGTACGATTATTTTTCACTGAAATACAGCCTGTTGAAAATCACCCAAAAATTTCAAAAAATTTTATGTTCCCTTAATTTTTGCGAGGAGTGTATATAGATAAATAAATAGATGTTCATAGAGATAAAAGATGCTCTTTAAGTCTACTCTTAAAAATATTTAGGGATTGACTCAAACAGATAGATATGGAAAGAGAATTCCACGATCTAGCAGCATGGACAGTAAAAGATCCACTATAGTGCGTATTTTGTACAAGAATTGGTAGAAAAATATCTAATTTAATCTAAATAAAATTCTGTAAATTAAAATTAAAATGATAACAAATAATTGAATTTTTTCAACTGCATATAAACTCAGAACAGTCACATGCAGGATGCATGTAACTCTTTTTTCTTACTTTTATGATTACATTGCTAAGAGCCAGCATGTGAGTATGTTATTCTATGTCTATGGTACTATCATATTCTAAGTTTATTATTATATTAGCCCTTTTATTGTGTTTTTTTTTTGTTGGTAAAGAGCTAAAAAAAATATATTTTAGCACTTTATATACTTGCTTATTAGAAGAGAGTATGTGACATAGAAAGATAATGCCACAGGTACTATACTAAATCTAAATATAAAACAACAAAACATGTATTTGTGCTTTATGACAGAGAAATAAATGCCTATTGTTATTCTGCATCTAAATATAGATTTATATTATAATTTAAAAAAAGATAATATTAAGTTGTAAATTCTCTCGGTTTATGTACTTTATATATATATATATATATATATATATATATATATATATATATATATATATATATATATATATATATATATATATATATATATATATATATATATATATATATATATATATATATATGTATCTTCTTATAAAATAAATTTATTAAATATAATACAACTAATATCTGTTTCTCTCGCCTCGACACTTTGACCGTTCATTTATAATATACAAAAACAATTATTATTGATTTATTGATTCCATTTGTTCTATATTACAGCCTAATCCACATGATTAAATGGCATGCATTATAGGCAAATATTATCTGCACTAATTACTCTTAATTATAAAATAATTTATTTTGATAAGGAGTAATTACATTACTATGGGACTTAATTAAATATTATATAAACATCTTTATAAATTAGAGCATTACTTCCACAGAATAACAAAATTTTAAATAGAATAATATGTGCCTAATTTTAGATTGTAGCACCCTTATAGTTTCCACTCATCCTATTTTTTCTTTCATTCAATCATTATACTACTTACATCATTCATAAAACTATAATTAATATGACTCTTCATTCATTATAGATCCTTTTTCCATCATTATATATTCAAAGTGTTTATTGTTTTTACATGTTAAATTCAACTATTTTAATATGTTTTAGGGTGTGGAATATGTGTTCGGTATTGTGGGCATTCCAGTTATTGAAACATCTCTCGCATTCCAAAGTGTTGGTCTAAAGTTCATTGGAATGCGCAATGAACAAGCAGCATGCTATGCTGCACAAGCTATTGGATATCTAACTGGTAAGATCAATCTGGCTGCCTCTTGGCCCACAAAGAAGAATGCAAAGGCATACTTAAGTACCAATGTAGAGGTTAAAAGTGTTGATAATTAGATAGCCAAAGATTATTTTTATTACTTGTAACAATACAGTGCTCTCACTTCTTACCATAATTAATAACTACAGATAATTATTATAACATGTTTTTTTTTTACTAAACATACATTATATGAAATATTAAAGCTAAATTATGCATGTTATGATATATGCATAAAATGTTAGTTTTTCTAGTGTAAATATGTGGGATTCAGTAAATATGTGGGGTAAAAAAATATCAGAGACTACATATGTTCTCCTTGAGAATACTGTTAAATAAGCTAATGGTTTCATCTCTATCTCAATTATTATTTGCAATAAACACTCATATCGCAAATTACATGCTTACAAATTTTTTTTAGGTAAACCAGGAGTATGTTTGGCTGTGTCAGGCCCAGGTCTTTTGCATTGCATTGGTGGCATGGCAAATGCACAAGTCAACTGCTGGCCTCTCGTTGTCATTGCTGGCTCCTGTCCTGAAGATCATGAGGGTATTGGAGGCTTCCAGGAGTGGCCACAGGTATACATTTTTATCTTAGCAAAACACTTCTTGACTTCATTATTCTCTACGTGAACGAATAATTATATATGTGAATATCACACACATATATTAGATACTTATTTTTTAATGGATGATAACCCCGTCTGCGCTATCGGTATACACTGGCGAGGCACCAGTAAGAAATTATTGGTGAAGATGTAAAGGCAGGTCAGTTAGCCCATTGTGACGAATTTAACGATAAATTAGTCACGATGGTTTCCAGGGTATATTGATAGCAATGGAGACTAACCTCCATTACTAACAATCCCCCCCCCCCCCCCCAAATATTAGATACTTGCCGTATGGTCCCGGCATAGAATAGGTGATCCCTTCTTTTCCCGTGGGTGTCCTAAGAAGCGACTAAGGGAAAGACGAGGGATGGGCAGCAGCGTCCCTCTTAAAATATCTCCAAAGCCTAACTGCAGTTGCGCTTACCAAGCATAGCAACTACTGGGAATACCCTCCAAGGGTGAAGCTTATGTTTAGGAGTAGACAGTTAAAGATTGATATGATGATGATATTAGCTACACTCAAATGAACACATCTAAACTCTAGTCTTCAAATATGCGTTTAATAAAAAAAAATCATCAGTCATCTTAATAAAAAAAATTTAGCGTAATTTTTTTTTTATTAAGATGACTCCTACTTCAATGCTTGTTGCAATGCAGTGGTATTCACCACAAAAACCATGAGCGTGGACTGTAATTCGCCGGCTCCTAGTTTCTTTGATCCCAGGGCCCACGCTGTTGTTATGGGGAAATATAAATAAAAAAATGGACCTCTTTTGAATTAATTCATTTTTTATATATATACGGTACAGACATGCACACCAAAGGTATTGGTTGATAAAAGGGATATATTACTATGTGTAAAAAAATATACCAACATTCAGTTAGATTAAACTAACTATACCGTAATATTAAAACCATGTAAAATCCTATTATAAATGCGAATGTTTATAAGGATAGATAAATGGACGAAATTTATACGAAGACTACTGAAAAGGTTGAATGAAATTTGATACACGGGTAAATTATATCCTAATTTAGCACATAGTATACTTTATGTATTGATTTATGCAGGCGAAGCCACGAGATACAGTTAGTGTGCTTTATATATTATATTCATACATAGGATAAATAATATAAGTCTTTGATAAAAGTTATTGATATAAATATATGAGTACCTATATCTAGTAATTACGTAAACCCCACATATAGATAACATGTTATTATTTATTAACTAGTTTATCATTTTTTCGCTATCTTTTCTTTCATATATGTCTATGCTATAATATTATATATCTAAGTAATCCTGTCTATTACCAAATATTACGTTAAAAACATGCTTAATCACTCTGGCCGTTTTCAATCTTTCATCAGATAAAACTTTATTTCATTGATAACTTTTTTTTTTTCCTAAATTAATCTTTGTTTTGGAGTCTTCGATATTTTTTGTGGTATCTCATAAAATGTAACATAGTTACAGTTCTGACGTATATTAACTATCAGTACGTATCGCTACTTCGAGGTAACTACTACTTTTGGCGAATATGAGTAAATAATTTTATTCAGAATTTAAACCTCTGTCGTTCTGTATATTTAAAAATATATAAAAGTATAAAAATAATTAACAAAATAGAATTCTTTTATGATCCATTATTTTTGTACATCTGGAACATGTGCGGCATATCGCAATAGTAATAAAAAAATTTTTGTCGTAGAAACAAATGTCATAGTTAAAATAATTAAGGTATAATAATAAATTACTATATATACTTAAACTTTAATAAAAAGTAAACAGCCAAAATATGTTTTGACTCGCATTTTCAACCGATTTCATAAAAGTAAGAGGTTATGACTTTAATGGTATATTTTTTATTTGTTACCTCATAACTCCGACAATTATAAATTGATTTAGGAAATACTTATCTTAAAGGACTTTCAGCTCGATCCCATAATTGTTATCAGATCAGATAATCAATTTACTAATTTAGTTTTTAAATAAAAATAACTAAACTTTTTAAATTATTATAATTGACTTTACCGTGAAAACTGTCCATTTTTTCGTGGGACACAACTTAAAATTCACCTGTAAACTTGCTGTTTGCTGTAATTTTAAATGTTGTGGACATTTACGTGGATATAATACGTAAATCCTATTATCGTACTAATGTTATAAATGTGAAAATTTTAATATTTGTTACTCTTTAAATGACTAACTGGAATTGAATTGTGTACAAAACACGGACAAACTCAATTTCAATCTTTTCTATGAGTTAATCTAAATACGAGCACTAGAGTACTTTATATACTAATTAACGTGAGTTGGAGTAATTATACATTCTTTGGCTATGGACACACGTTGGATACGACTAGTAAAGTATTTGTCAAAGTTAAACATGATTGTATAAATTATAGAGATATATAATTAGAATAATAAAAACATATACTTACTATAGTTTCATTTAAACTGTTTAAATCAAACATTGTATACCAATGATACCTGCTGTGTTAATATTTGATATATAGAAAATAAAAAGACATAGTGACCTTGCCGTAGATTCTTCATAAATTGATATATCTTACAAATTATGGCTAAATACCTATCTAGTGTATTTTATATAAAAACGTTTTAATCACAAGTAAGTAAAATTTTATTATAATACTTATAATAATCATGTATAAAATATGATAAGATTAGGTTTATTAAATTTAATTGTTATTTCACATATCTAAAGTATATAATATCATAAGTAAACACTACTTGTAAAAAATAATGAAATCCTGAGGACTGAAAAATTGATACGAGATATATTGGTGAAAATTAATGAAAAAGACTACTAAGGTTGTATTCCACAAAAAAATCGGACTTCTTGTATGGTAAAAAAAGGTATTTTGATTTAAAGACTCTTTCAGATAAAAAAATAGTTTTCCAAATCAGTTTACAACTGATGGAATTATCGGGTAACAAACATAAAAGAAAATATAACCAAATTGCGAACCTCCTTCTTTTTAAAGTCGGTTTCTTTTTAAACTAAACAATGGAGCCCAAATTAGTCATTTTTAAAATTAATGTCTCTCTTAAAAACAGACAGAAGTACTTGAAAATGACTGAACGAATCGCAAAGAAATTTTATGATCGATATTTAACATCTATTAGTCCAATTTAAAAACTCATGTATATTTTATTAACATCGGTCAAGCGAAACTTAAAATTTTAATTGACCCTCTTTCGTATGAATACATTTAATTGCATACTACAACACAGTATGCCCCTGGACTTGCAGTTGCTATATATATATGTGTGTGGTTCAATAAATTAATAGATATACCAATAAAAGAATATGTATTCCTACCAAAAACGAGCTATTTTCAATGAATTTGTGGTCAATGTCGCTTGGGAAGGATTATACAATACTATACTTCCAAATCTATTCAAATATTTAGAAGTTACGGTGGAATATAGTAACTCACATACATACATGAACCATAAAAACATAAAACTTCTTTTTTGGGCATTTATTATTGAAGATACTGCATTAGAATCTAGTAATGCAATTCATTATGCTCTAATAATAATAATTTAAAAATGTAATATAAACATAAACATGTTTAACAAACGTTACATGTTAACTCATTTTACGGCTTTAGGAATTAGCCAGGCCAGCATCCCCTTGATCAAGCTCTGATACTTAATATTTAATTATTAATATTAGCTCAGTGATGGACACTTTGCTTTGCGTAAATGATATCTCGGGTTCGATTCCCGATCGGGCTAATTGACTTTTTTTTTTTTTTTTTTTACAACACAGGGGGCAAACGAGCATGCGGCTCACCTGATGGTAAGTGACTACCGCCGCCCATGGTCACCCACAACACCTACGGCATTGCAGGTGTGCTGCCGGCCTTTTAAAAAGGAATATGCTCTTTTCTTGAAGGTTATGTTGTCGTATCGGTTCGGAAATACTGCTGCTGGAAGTTGATTCCAAAGAGTGGTTGTGCGTGGAAGAAAGTGCCTTGAAAAACGCACGGTGGAGGACCGCCACTCGTCCAGATGGTTGGGATGAAATTTTAGTTTATGGCGGGTTGTACGATGGTGAAAATCTGCAGCAGGTATCAATCCGAACAATTCTTCAGAGCACTCCCCATGATAAATTCGGTAGAAGATGCACAGAGATGCAACATCTCTACGCAGTTTCAGTGGGTCGAGCCGGACAGTAAGACGCCGATCGTCAACAATTCGAGCTGGCCGACTTTGAATGCGGTCTAACGGAAGGAGTTGGTACTGTGGCGCTCCTGCCCACAGGTGAGAACAGTATTCCATGTGTGGCCTCACTTGAGCTTTATACAGTTTCAGGCGGTTTTCTGGCGTGAAATACCGTCTCACCCTATTGAGCACCCCCAACTTTTTGGAAGCTATCTTAGCTTTTTCCTCCAGATGACCGCAAAACTGGACGTCGCTAGATATATCGACGCCAAGAATCCCCAGACTCGACTTATTATCAAGGGAAGTGCCCTGAAAGTGAGGTGATACGACAAACGGTGTCTTTTTTGCGGTGAACGCGCAGACTTGTGTCTTCTTAGGGTTAAAGTGAACAAGATTGCGTTCACCCCAGATCGAAACTTTATCGAGTGAAGTTTCGATTTCAGACACAAGTCTGTTCCGGAGCTCATCGGTATGTGCCCGCGAGATCTTTGCATGACCGGTGTATAATGCATCTCCTGTACTGTCGTCCGCATAACAATGAATATCACTGATCTGTAACATATCATTGATATGCAGAAGAAACAGTGTCGGAGATAGTACACAGCCTTGCGGGACACCAGCATTCACAGGTTTTAAGTCAGAGCATGCTCCGTCGACTACGACCTTAATGCTACGTTCCTTAAGAAAGCTGGCGACCCAACTGCACAATCTCGCAGGCAACCCAAACGAAGGTAGTTTTGAGATTAGTGCCCTATGCCACACCCGATCAAAGGCTTTCGCAATATCCAGACTAACAGCTAAGGCCTCTCTCTTATTCTCGATTGCCACTGCCCATCGGTGTGTTAAATAAACTAAAAGATCACCAGCCGAGCGTCCCCGTCGAAAGCCGTACTGGCGGTCTGAGATCAGCTGGCGATCCTCTAGGTACCGGAGCAGTTGATGGTTAATAACTGATTCCATGACTTTCGAGAATAAGGAAGTGATAGCTATGGGCCTATAGTTAGCTGGATCTGAGCGGTCTCCTTTTTTAGGGATCGGATGCACCAGAGCAGTCTTCCAAAACTTTGGGACTATACCTGATGAGTAACAGAGCCGAAAAAGACGCGTAAGAACCGGAGCCAACTCTGGTGCGCACGTCCTAAGCACAATTGGAGGAATGCCATCGGGCCCGCTCGACTTATGGATTTCAAGGGAGAGAAGTGCTCTACGCACTGATCTTAGCGTGAATTTAACATCCGGCATAGAGCTCCTACAACGCGGGATGGTCGGCGGTAGTTTCTCCCCGTCATCCAACGTCGAGTTTGATGCAAAGAGAGATCCAAGGAGATCGGCCTTCTCTTTGGCGTTCAGAGCCAACGAGTTATCCTCCCTGCGCAATGGTGGAAAAGATGACTGACAGAAATTCCCTTGTGCAGCTTTGGCAAGAGACCAGAAAGCTCGAGATCCCGAAGGTAAACTAGCCAATCTCTTGCCAATTCTACCAATATGCTCTGACTTCGCTGTGGCCAAAACTCTTTTGAAGGACCTAGAGGCAAAGTTATACTTCTTTTTAACTTGACTTGGTTAACTGTTCTGAATTAGCTCGGATCTGAATGTTCTGGATTGCGCCCTCTGATATTCGTTGCCTGACTCCTCACAACAATAAGTATCCTAGCTTAAAGATCTTAATTTGTGTGATTTTTTAATGAATTGTAATGGAACGATAACACCGCTTACGTCACCGGTATATGCTGGCAAAGCAACAGTGGGACTTGATGGGTGAGAATAAAAGCAGACCCATTATGACGAATTTATATTATTCTCAATATCGTGTATAATATAATATAGTATATGTCATATATGTGTAAGTATATTTGTTATTCATATATATTTATTCGTTTATATATGTAATTTTAGTATGTATGTATATCAATAATTACTAGTACCGCATTCGAGTATTCTGACACTTCCCTATGGTTGACTGGGAGAGAATGCTTTTAGCATTAAGTCCACCATGTACACATATTTGTACTAATGAATAAATAAATAAATAACCACCATGTTTTTTAGCAGGAACCGCGTGGAGTCGACCTAAAGTAATGAGGGGTCTAACAGCCTCATTACTAACAATTCCTCCCAAAGTTGGTGTGATTGTATGGCACTGACTATTATTATGCGTAGGTGGATTCGAGCCGCTTGTATTGCAAGTATACGGCGCGCCCACCATCTGCGCGGCTGATTCCGTTGCACGTGGAGCGCGCGGTTCGGCTAGCGTCCGTCGGACGGCCCGGAGTCTCCTACCTAGACATGCCTGGCACGCTACTCATGGTATATTGTTTTATTATTATATGTTCTGATACACTTTTAAGAGAGTTCATACCAAAGCTTGCTGAAGTACGGCAAAATAACAATAATTTGTCAATTTTTGATATTCGAAAAATGCACTGACACATTAATTTATTAAACGAACTTACAACATTAATTTTTATATATTACGTTGCATATACTTATATTATTACTTATAATATTTGTCCTCTTTTTTATGTGAAAAGCCGGCAAAGTAGCATGCGGCTCACCTAATGCTATAATAATTAAGAACCTCAGAAGATTTGCCTGTGCCTTATATTTTTATTTTTTAAACAAAAATGTATGCATAAGCCTTTTAATATTAAACTCAACTATTAATTGCGGCCAATAATTAACAGTTTGAGTATTATTTTCGTTAGACTTTATCATCCTGGATGTGCCGTGAGTAGGTACTAATTAGTAACATTTTTAGACCATTAAATACAATTTTTACATTTTTTCATGGTAGAAGAAAGACTATTGTTGCAGACTATTATTTCTAACACTGTGAATCTTAAATGTTACCAGAGTCAAGTAGAAGAAGACAAAGTGCAATTAGACTTCTACAGTGCGGACCCGGTAAAATTGGGACATCCTGATCCCGCGCTAGTGTCACAGGCAGCCGAGTTGCTATCACGTGCCGAACGTCCTCTCGTCATTGTGGGGAAGGGTGCCGGCCACGCGCGGGCAGAGAACGAGATTACCAAGCTCATCGAGAATACCAAACTGCCGTTCCTACCGACTCCCATGGGTAATTTTCCCTTTCATTTCAACGGTCTTACTTCAAAGACGTTAAACTTGCAAATGATAGGTGTTCAATACATATTTAAACATCTTACTATGTATACAAAAGAGCGTCTAATGTATTGAAAATAAAAAGTGTTAAAAGTAATGCATTATATTGGCACATAAAATTACATATTACTATTAATATCCCAACCAAACAATGTTTTATTGTATAGAAAGTTTACTTAAACATTGTTTAGATAGGTGGTGTCTTAAATTATTTTTGTAGCAATTGTTCACGCGTATTGACATACGCAGATGAAAGACAACCTTTAGAATACTTTTAAGGCCCTATGCACGCATTTTTAAATACAACTCGTTTTGTTATGCGACCCAGAGGTGGACTAATGGGGGGCGAAACATTTTTATTAGTCTTTTTTTAAGCGGTCGTGAAGAAATCTGTACTATACAAGTCGTATGCGATAATACAGTTGTAAACAACGGATCATAATGACGTGTATGGAAACATTATCAAAAATGTATAACAACAATTCTGAACTATGTGTGTCTTACTGGTAAACAAGTTGTCGTGTGTAGATGGGGCCTTACATTTATACAATTGCTTAGCAATTAATTTAGCAACCAGATGTTTGAAACAAATATATTTTATTATCGGTTATGTAAAGCAAAGCTTGCTTGCCATATCTCATCTATTAAACTACTTGTCTTTCAATACAATGCTTTTAAAGCAAAATGCCTTAGAATTAATCAATACAATACGTAACAATTTACAACTACATTATAACATCATAGAAATTTAATTTGAAATTATTATTTATAGAATTTTCAAATAATTCTTTCAGGTAAAGGTGTTGTGCCTGATGAGTCACAATACTGTGTGTCTTCAGCTCGTACGCAAGCTCTGCTCAAAGCAGACGTCATCTTGCTATTAGGTGCCCGATTAAATTGGATGCTACACTTCGGGCAGGTACCCCGATTTGCACCCGACGTAAAAGTTATACAGGTACTTATCATTTATTTGTTTGCCAATTATATAATTTATTAACTTTAATTTCTCTATTTTTATACCTGCTATATTAATATTCTGATTACGGAAACGTCTTTATTTTTTATCGACGCCTCTACTCTGTACTCCATTAATGCTTATGAAATCTTGTATACACGCTATTGCATGGAGTACTTTTTATACAGTTACTCAAAATCGTAAACATAGGTAATAACTTATATAGTTTTCAAAATTGTAATTGTATCATAAACAATGGTACAAATATAAAGATTCTTTGCCTTTCAGGTAGACATATCACCAGAAGAGTTCCACAACAGCATCAAATCTGAGCTGCCTGTACATGCAGATATTAAACCATTTACTGCAGCTCTCATAAATAAATTAGCTGAGAAGAAGTTCTCACTGCAGCCAACAAACAACAACTGGTGGCAAACATTGAGAGAGAAACAAAAAGCCAACGCCGAATTTTTTGAGGTAAATTATACCAAACCTATGTCCTAAATGAGATTTGAATTTACTTTTTCCTTTTTTTTTACAAGACTTTTCAGTCCTACATATAAACAAGAGTGGAGTAACATAGTTGGAATTTTCCCTAGGTCTTATTAAAAACTTATGTTCAATACAAATAACCAGAGGTTTTGTAGTGTTGTATTCAATAAGGTGTCGCGCTGCTTTAGGTTGGCCTCAGACAGGTAGAGAACTGCATAATTTCTATGTAAAGTGCCTATGGGCTATGTACGGTGTTTATAAGTTTAGATATCATTTAATGATGCCAGCTATTAAGGAAATAAAAGAGATTCAAAATATTCTGTAATAGCCAATTTGTAGTTTATTACACGAACAGGACATTTGTGTGCCAAATTTCAATCAATATGTCAATTCTGAGGCGTCATTTCTTTAAACCTATTTCTAAAATTAAAATTTCAATTTGATATCATAGTGAAATCTTTAATGTAAGAACCAATCAGAACTGTAATTTAATAGATTTTAGTCAAAATTGTTGTAATTTTAATTTATGATGATTTAAATTAGAGAAATGGAGGGATCTCTAAAAGCCAAACTGCGATTGCCAGTTACCCCATATGGCGATACTATGTTCAGCAGTAGACAGTAAACAACAAAAAAACATTCGCAAAATTATTAAATTAAAATATAAGGTTAACGGATAAGTTTAGAAAAATGGTAACTCAAAATCAGGGATGAGTAATATATAGCGATATCTATATATTTCAATTAAAATATCTATATACTGGTTCAATAACCAATATGTTAAGTCTGTTATCCAAAAAATAATATTGGATAACAGAGTATTAACATACTTGAAAATAGATAACCGACCGATATGGGCGATATCAAAATAGGTGATGCCCTTTTTACCGCCATCAATGTCCAGAGGAACCCAATATATAAATATCGAATCGGTGTCCACATATAACATTTGATCACATTCCTTTATGATCTTTTACTATCAAAATCCTAAAAAAAAATCAGTACACACCACAAATATAAATTATAAACTAACATTTTTCAGGCTCAAGCAAACGACAAATCTGTGCCTCTTAATTACTTCGCAGTATTTAAGACTGTGCAAGCTACTATTTCGAGGGATTCAATTATAGTAAGCGAAGGCGCCAACACAATGGATATCGGTCGCGGAATTCTCCTCAACAACAAACCAAGGCACAGACTCGACGCTGGCACATTCGGCACTATGGGGGTCAGTATGCTTTATATATTCTGTCTTTGTATCGTTTATAATAATTAACATCTAAAAATATATTTCGGCCATAACTTTTATTAGCTTCATTTTTAGACTACGTACGTCAAACTTATATATTGTGGTATATATAATAAATGCAATATATCATATCTACGTATGTTTGTAGTATACAAATTTTGTATTAGTATTAACCAATTAAAGTAGGTATATAACAATACGCTCACGTCATTTGTACATGCTTTTATTACATAATTAGTTCTAAACATATTTATACAAGTGTTAAATTCTTAACTATAAAGCTGCATTCACACCAAACGTAATGTCTATCGCTGATTTCGAGTTTTTATTTTTGACATTAAACAATTAATAGGTACTTAGTGATTTGTTATATTTATAGCTAACAAGCAATACTATATACAACAGGTCGGACCAGGTTTCGCGATAGCGGCAGCGTTGTGGTGTCGGGACTACGCTCCTAATAAACGAGTCATATGTGTCGAAGGAGACTCCGCTTTTGGATTTTCTGGTTAGTGGTTTCGAAAAATAATTATTGCCATCACTTTAATATTTGTCCATTATTAGACACAAGCAATTGTTCTATCGTATGAATAAGTCATTCTTATGGTTCTGTTCTATTTATTTATAGCTTGTTTATAACAGAACACTAAAACAGAATATACAGTGAGTTATGGTCTTCTGATCCCTCGAAAAACTTGTTCAGTGTTGTAATTTTTTTTTATACAACTTAGAATGGCAAACAAGCTGACGGCCCACCTGATGGAAAGTGGTAACCGGCGCCTATAGACATGAGCAGTACCATGGACATAACAGAGTTTACTATTTCGCCCATGATACCCCCCATGCGTTGCCATTCCTGAGGACTCAGGTGTTATTCCTCTGTACCCAGTAAATTCACGCCATATCCCACCCTTCAAACCGAAATACAGCCATGCAAACACAGCTGCTTCACGGTTAAAACACGAATGGGACAGAGGTACCCACCCAAGCAATCGACTTTTGTACAAAGTCTCCCTTAATAAATAATTACAAACAAATTATACAAACTATTCCTTACGTCCTTTAATTTTTTAGGAATGGAAATCGAAACTATGGTCCGCTATAGACTTCCAATAATAATAATAATTGTAAACAATAACGGTATCTATGGTGGTTTCGACAAAGAAACAATGCAAGAGCTTCAGTCAGCTGGTGATTTGACTCAATGGTATGTTTACACTTAAAATAATTATTATTCAAAACATAGCAAAACAGAATTTTGCAACAAAACTACTGAAAACATTGCAAATTGTTTTCAGGGTTATCAAACTATTTCGAGCATGTGGAGCCGATTCTAAGATGCCACATCTCTAAACTTATCTCTTAACCTAACATATATTTTAATTTGATAGTTTCGCAAAATTACTGTTTTATGGGCCATCAAAAACTAAAATTAATATAATTTCGACTTAAGTCTATTAGAATATGAGTTCATATTGGCCCTTACAAAAAAGATTTCACTGTAATATCAAATAAATTTTAAAATTAGAGATTTAGAGAAATGGCGTTACAGAGTCAACCCCAATGTTTTGTCTATTATGAACTCTTTGGCTTTAAATGAGATCGGAACTTCACTTACAGATACCTGACTCATGCCTGCCGCCACGCAGCTATGCTCGCATAGCTGTTGGCGGGTCAGAGTTAAGATCTATAATTCAATTTTATAAATATATTTATCTATAATTAAATATTATAAAAATATAAATTAAGATTTTATAATATATAACTGACAAATGTATTACAGTATACCACCAACCTCCCTGGGTACTGAAGTACGATATGAGAAGATGATGGAAATGTTCGGTGAAGCTGGACACTTCTGCCGCACAGTCGAAGAAATTGAAGTAGCTGTGAAAAAAGCAATCACCGTCACGGATAGACCAAGTATAATTAATATCGCTATTAGTCCTCAATCTAACAGGAAGCCGCAAGCATTCAATTGGCTTACCGAATCTAAATTGTAAATAAGATTATAAAGAAAGGAATTCATTAACATTGCCAAAAAATAATAACGGTTTAAGTAACGAAAGTAGGGTTATAAATAATACTTTGAATGAATTATATTATGTGTACATACTAATAAATCTTCATTGTCTCGATTTTATTTGTACATAATTGTTAAATGTATATTTATATTACATAAATAAGATTTGTTCGATTTTAATGTATAAGTTATACGCATAACAGATATTGTACAAATATAAATTGTGATTTTTAATTATGTCAATTAATACTTTATTTAAAATATCATACAACAATTATTAAAAAATGTATTAATATTTTGAGTTGGAAATGGTAAAGGTTCTTCAATAATCATGTTTAATGCGATCGATTTTTGTGATGCGGTGGTAGGCACAGTGGTTTACGAAATAAGATCTCGGAATTAATTAACTATTAGGTCAATTTAGGAAAAATCTTTTTAATTTGCTTGGGTCATAGTAATTTGGTTTATAACCAAATGTTTGTTGCTCAATCACAGAGCATCTAAGCTTCAGTTCAGGATTAGACAATTGATGTGATTGTATTGCATTTGTTGGCAATAAAATAATTAAGTGCAGTTGTGGGCGTGATATTCCAATGTTCAAATAAGTAAATAATTAAATACGCGCATATAGAACCGCGGTTGGACATGGTGCAATTATTTTGGCAATAAATTCCTTAAGGAAATAAACTTATAATATGGGAATAAAATAAGACTGGGTAGGTAGTTTTAATTCAATTAACCCTATAGGGTAATATGATATATATCAGTCAATACCGAAATCACCAATAAGTAAAAGTTCTAAAATATGTAGACAAATAAAATAATAGGCGAAATGTTTCATATTGTCTGTAATTGAGTTACAATTATGTTTCACATCACATTCTTTGTAAAATGAACTTAAAAATATACAATATATATTTTAATACATTTACATTAAAAACTAAATCCCTGTATTTTTATTTAACACTATGGATGCAAATGAATCTCTTGTGTTGGTTGTCCAAAGCAACAGAACATGAACAGTTAGGTTTCCTTCACATTTTACTGAGACAGCCAATCAAGAAGTTCTCTATCACAGTTTGTGCTGTAAAAAAAGATGACACATTTACATGAAATTTCCATGTGACAGGTATCATATTAAATAGCCTAATTACAAAAATATTCTCCAATATTATTATATTTATCATTTTTAGTTACATGTTAGTTATACATAATTAAATTACATTTATAGATCAGTATATCGAATTTAGCTATATCTGCATTTAACAACTGTTATTAACACAAAAAAATATCCCAATAATGTGTTCCTTGGGATAATGTAAAACCCACATTGATAAAATTATGAACATGCAAGACAACAGTAGTGAAAAAAAATATATATTAATAAAAATATATATAAATTGGGTTAAATAAGATACATTGCAGTGCTTCATGATAATGTTATGATTTTTATGGTGGACTAAAAGACCTGCCTCTTCAACCTCACCTATCGTTTGTCACTGGTGCCCTGCCAAATTATGCCGATAGCTCAGGCGGGGGGGCTACCACTCCATTATCGTCCAAAGGAATTCAGCCAAGAACTGAATTCCTTTATTCAGAGCGTCAAAGAGCCTATAAGCGTAAATATATTATATAACTTAGAGACATACATTTACTTAGCGACCAATTAATTACATTTTATGTTTTTTATAATATTATCTTGTTGTATTGTACTGTATATTATTGACATTTGTCCATATCGTGTCTGAGTTGTCAGATTGTTTGTGACGTCGTCCTCCTACTGATAGGTTGGGTTGCCTTACCATTTGTTTATGAGGTAGCTGTTTGTGAATATTTTGTCTACTTTCTTAATTTGGAAATCGTTTTCTATTAATTGAATAGTATGGAGTTCACAAATAATAAAAAAGATGACACAAGGTATAAAACACAAATTTATCCACATTATGTATTAATTGTTAATTTGTATGTATTAATCGTTATTTCTACTGGTAAGTCGTCACTTATGAAACTGCCACTTTTTCAATATGATAATGGAAAGATTTTATAATTTTTGTATAATAAAGAAAGTAATTAAATAAATATGAATTTGTGACAACTCTATTTGAGTAAGGAGAAGTGGGGTACATTTTGCCGGCATCAGAGCACTCACAAAGGAAAGTAGAGGAGTGTCACTTTTACTCAGATTTATTTATTTTTATTCTAATATAATGAAATAGTAACAATACGTCTATATATGGGAGATATTTCAGAAAAATTGATGTCTTAATAAGATCAACAGATAATAGTCTGTTTGTTAGTTGTGTGTTTGTTGACATCATACAAAAATTACTTCACCAAATCAGATGCAATTTTCACAACTAAAGGTCTTACTTAAAATCTTATGTGTTTTATACTGATATATGGTCTCTTTCATGAGTTTTTCTATTTCTAGCATTCTCACAATCTCAATAACGAGATAAAACTAGTCCATACACATATAATTTAAAAGTCTTACCCAATTTACAATTATTTGTTGTGGTCAATGTGTAAGCATCTTGATCATAGTCGTTGGTAAGTGTAAGATCAGCTCCTCGGACAAGTAGTTCATTGCAGGTGTAAGGAAAATCTGCAGCAGCTGCATACATAAGTGCAGTGCTACCGGACTGAAATAAAAAGTAATATGTCTTATTGTTGGATCATTATGGAGTAAACAAAGGGACTGAGTGTGAAAATTCTCTATCTATATATTAATTTAGTACTATATATTTTAGTGAAATCTATTAATATTACTTTTAAATAAATAAAACCTATATTTATTTATTCATATGTATGAATATGAATGTTTAAAATATTTATTATTTATTGAACAAGTAAAATTGAAACAACTGTCAGAAATCACAAAAAGTATGTTCATTAAATTCCTATTCTCCAGTTACTTTTATATATGATGTTACCAATTCAAAATTATATAAACATTTGACTTAATTAATATATATAAATTAATGTGATTATAGCTTATATTTAAGATTTCAGCTAAACCCCTGCATGATAGCTAGGAAAATAAAGATATTTTTAATAAACTGATTTCAATTTAGAAGATATTAAGTCACTTTAAAAAGGTCAGAGGTTCTTAATTAGACTGTTTCTTATGCATGTTACATATCTTATTTTTTTTTTCTGCAATCGACACTTGACCTTGAAATTTTGTGACAATTAAAATTATTATTATTTTTACTACAACAAAAATAATATAAATCATGTAATAAGTTCTTACATCATCTTGAATATCAGCATCGGCTCCTTCATTTAACAGAAACTTAACAACTTCATGGTGCCCCCCTGCCGCCGCCAGATGGAGTGCTGTCTCTCCTTCTGGCCCCCGCATGTTGACATTAGCACCACACCTATAAAATATGTTTCTTCTGTTTGTAGTTATAAACATTTCTTCTTTCAAATAGTAATAAATAATATAAAATTGATATAAATATTTTATATCAATTTTATATTATTTATTACTAACAAACTGCCCAAGCTTTACACAAGCTAATAAAATACATTCCATGTTACTAAGTGTAACTATATTGTAACTTTCTATAGGTGAAATTAATTACTAAACTCAGTTAAGCATTTTTGTGTCTAATCATTACAGATATAAAATTCAAATTTTTCTTCTATATTAATTTAGATCCTTAGCATATTCAAGACTAGCTGCCCCTCCCGGCTTCACACGGGTGAACATTTTTACATTTTAAAAAGTGACCATTAAGGCTGCACACGCGACGGAAGTTTAAAAATGGAGTAACTTCTCCTGTTTTCCCAACATTTCCCTTTACTGCTCTGCTCCTATTGATCGTAGCGTTATGAAAAGTATAACCAGGAGTATAAACTTAACAGTTGCATTGCTAGGAATATACCCTCATAGGTCAACTTCCATTTGGTTCCTCCTGGAAACCATCATGGTTGATTCTTGTTGAATTTGTCACAATTGACCAACTGACCCACTTTCATCCTCACCTCTCACTGCTGACACAAGCAGGGTTACCATCCCAATTTCACCCATAATAAACATTGTCCTTATAGTATCAAGATCCATTATACAAATAGTGTAGAAATTCTTTCTCCATACATTGAATACTTCTCTTACCTACATGATGTAAATTATTGAACAAAATTTGTCATATTATGTTCTAAAAATAATTTAAAATTTCAGGAATATATTGGAATACAAACATAAAGATCTACCTACTCTATCAAATTGTTGAACACACCAGAATGTCTAAGGTACTCAGAACAAAGGAATATGAACACACTCACCACACAAGATCTTGACAACTATTCAACTGGCCGTAACTAGCCGCCCAATGTAGCGCCGTGAGTCCATGCTCGTCAGTGATGTCAACATACTGCTCCAGTTTCAGGTCGTCACGGGTTATTTCTCCGCGGCCAGCTTTCGCGTGTAAGCTACAATCTGGCTGGGGTAGTTCGGGGACCCGCGCCTGCGTATTACCTACAAACACCGACCTTGAATGATCTACTTATCCGAATCCGGGCAAAAGCGTCCTAAATAATCGATATACGAACAAAGAAGATGAGCAAGACCTGTTTCTCACCTCGTTGTAAATTTGTTAATGCAGTGCACTGAACAGATTTATACGGCGTAAATGCACTTTTTCGCACACCGTTCAAATTAGGCGCCCAACGTTGATAACCACCGCTACCGCTTTTACTGCTGTCTTGACTGCCTGAATCAAATTCATATTTGTAGCTGTCCAAATTATCTTGTTTCTCCTGTTTTATATCTATATTTTTCGCTTCGTGTTTGACAGAAACTGCTTCTTCCATTTTTATTTACTTTATATTTGACCACAGATCAATAATCAATTAGGCTCACCACAGATCATAGAGTCTACAGTCTAGACCAAAGATTTTTGAATAGGCCTAGATATTACGACATACCCATAGACATCTAAATAGAGGAGTGGATAATGTTGAGTGTTTTGTACGGCGACTGGTTATTGCCGCTCAACTGTCATATGACGGGTGTCAACTCGACACAATCCTTCAATCTAGGGATTAGATAACATTGACATTAATCTACAACTCGATATCGATATACATCGGGAAGCTACACGTGACTTTACAAATACGACTACTAATTATTCGATTGAGTAAATCATTCAGTTTATTCGAATGATTTTCAAATCATTCGACTATTAATTTTATTCATCCGACTATTAATGTCAGTCGACTACTAATGTCACCATGTCGTTCAAGTACTAATATCATTTATTAGTAGTCGTTAATGTACGAGGCGACACGAACATAGCCGAATCGGCCCGATCGTCGGAATTTTTTAATGGATAAGAGTGTTGCCAATTTAGTTTTTAAAATTGATATTTTAGTGATTGATGGTGTTTTCTGTTTCTTTTTTTTTTTCATCGTCGTTTTTATTAGTTTTTAGTAATGTAGTAGTAATGGGTACAGAATGCGGAATGAACTTAGTAGTAGATTCAGAGAAAAGACTGTTGTAATTACTTACTAATAAATAAAAAAAATATATTACAAATTTTGTACTCGAATTATAAAATCTCTAACTACTAATTGATCGAATAACAAAATCATTCGGATTCGCGCATCGCAAACATCAGGTATTATCGTCCATCGTGAAATTGTAATGATTACAAAATACTTATTAATAGGATTCTTCATCATATTTCCAAAATCCATATTTCTTTATAAATAATATGAAATTTAGGTAAATTTAAGTTTATACAGTTTTTAATATCAAAATAATCTGCTCGAACTAAGATATCTATAAATGTATCGAACGCTATTACGTAATCATTAAGCTCGGTATTAGAACAATTTGGACACTTAAATATGGAATATATTTGAAATAAAAAAAAGTAGAATCTAAAATTAGATTTTAAATTTATCAGTGGTGGGGGAGTCCTAGTCTTTTATAATTTTTATATAAAACCAAGTTTAAACACACTTTCACAAGAATGGCAGGCATTTTACAAATGTTCGAAGCCTTTTATCGGAATTATCTATTTGTTTCTACATAAGCGTCACGTGTTCCAGTTATATATATCACAAATCCATCGATATATTCAACATAAAACTGTTATCATTTAAGAGGTGCAAGGCCGGTTGGTATTAATTTGAACTTTACTGGACTGGCGGAATTCGTGTTTGTATTCGTTGGTTTGTGTTTTTGTTAAGTGACGATTATTTTATGGTACTAGTATCATATTATAACTCGTTTGATATAAATGATGCATATTTAGGCAGTAAAAGAAAAAGAAAAAAATATTATATATAGGTATTTACTAATTATCATACTTTCCACACACACACACACACACACACATATATATATATATATATATATATATATATATATATATATATATATATATATATATAACCTAAAATTGTTATAATTTGTTATGTGTTCCTCATCATTAATATGAAATAGTTGCACACATAGAACAAAGGTCTCTATAAATCACTTGCGCAGCTATCTAATATTTCTCGATAATACTGCACTTAAGATAACACGTAAATGTAAACATGCGAGGCGTGAATATTTACCGTTCACCTATAAAAATTTTGAATTATTCTATTACTATTTCCAGATAAAATAATACATTAGTTCTATAATGAATAACTGATTTAAGAATTAATATGTACTTAAAAATTTATTTTTAAAAATTATTGGCCTAAAATGCAAAATAAACTTATAACTTTAGTTTTTTTACTAAATAGTTAAATAAAGTGGGAAGGAAGTGTTAGTAATGCGGACTACCAATCCCATTGCTAGCAATATACTCAAGTCGACCTTCACGTGATTCCCTTAAAGCTATCGTGCTAAATTCCAGGTGTATTCTTCACGATGGGCTTATGACCTGCCATTTCATTATCACCTATTATCCTTTACTGGTCCCTCGTTAGTACATACCGCTAGCGCAGGTGCGGATACCATTCCATTATCAATCATTAAAAAAAATAGTAGGACAATAACCTTTAAATAGAAACATTTTTGAAAGTCTATCCCACTTTTTTACATTCTGATCTAAAGGTAGAATAAAATACTAAAAGTCTGCTATTTGACCAAATCTACTTAAATATATAAAAAAAATAAGAGTATAAAAATTATAATAAAACAAATAAATTCAAAAGTAAGAAGACTTACGACCACTCCGCACGACGATTTAATCTAAGTGAACTCCCGGGCGTCCCGCTAAACAACTATGTACATGTTTCTAATAAGCCTTGTTTACATACATATATATTAATAGCCTCAAGACTAAACTCGATATGTACCTATATAACTGTATAAAAAATAACAATAAAATGATATCATTCAACGAACAAAAATAAAGTATTCCCTAGCCTTATTTCAAATAAATATACATATAACCTGAGTGTCATAGTTCCATAATTTGTAATTAGTTTGCCCTACAAAATAAAGTTTTACGTAAAGCAATTCTTTAAGAAAACGCACGGCGTACATAAAATAAGCAAGAAAAAAATATTTTCAATGTTTTACGACCATGTTTTGTTCAAAGATATTTTTTTAATGGATGATAATGTAACAGTTGCCCCGCCTGCGTTTACGATGTGCTGACGAAATACTGGTGAGGCATAATAGGTGAGAATGAAAAGGCAGATCAGTTAGCCCATCGTGATGAATACACCTGGAATTCAACACGATGGTTTTCAAGGATGATCACGTGGAGGTCGACCTGCTAGAGTACATTGCTAGGAACGAAACTGGTAATACGCATTACTAACGACCTCTTTCTCCTTCCTATCAAAAATGTTTTACTTATAATTGTTTCTTTTTGTATTGCAGTACTATCCTTAGTCTATGGTTATGTGATTGAAGGACATATGACATCGACATTTCTTGTGTCAGTGCCACATTCGATGACGTTCAGCTAACGGTAGGTATGAATTCGAATTCAAATCGAATTTAAAATTTAAACAAAAAAAAAAAAAAAAACACTATTCTAGAGCTAATAATATAATGAGAATAATTAAACAAATAATTTGTTTCGATAGATCTCGATTCATTTGTATTTAATTTTAATTGACAAGCAATCTGTTTTGTTAACAATAGAAAGCGGTTTTGGAACTGAAACAGTATCTTTGAGTTTATTCAGTAAAGCAATTCTCGCAATCCTTTAGTTTGTTTATTATTATTGACCCTTAAATTGTACACTTCGCTGACTCTTAATACCAGCTATGTCGGCTGTGGGACAACAAACCCAACAATTACAACAAGATTTACAAAATGAATTGACAACAGCAAACCAACTTTTACATTTGATGTGAGTATTCTATAACAACTAAATAATTTAACTAAGCGAAACCGAACCGTCGTTTTTGTGTTTATGTATATTTTTATAATTAACATTTCAAAGTGGGTTACATAATAAATATATGTACAGAAAAAAATGTGATTTCTTCATAATATCATTATCAATTCTTCATATTTGGAGGTAATTGTCCATAGTGGCCATATTGCTAGCAATATTTTGTAGAATGTAATTGAGTAGTGATTTAACACAGCCTCTTTCATTGGTCACTGTTCCAATTTCCGCACAATACAAACATTTGTAGTCATGAGTATATCTGTTTGTATTGTAGCTACTTTAGCATCCATTTTCATTTCAATAACACTGACTCAAATTCAACTAGTCTGTGATATGATAACATTCTGTAAATATTAACTTATGTTATGCTAAATTATTGTTACTTTGTAATTATAACTTAAATATCTATAAGTGTCATAGATTTCTGAATAAAATTACGTTTATTCATTCACATTGTTATGAATATTTCTATATATGTTATTGTTAAATAGTAACTATTACCATCAGTTGTTTAGTATCCATAGTATAAATTTAGCTTAGATTGGAACTCAATAGTGTTACAATGATATTTATTTATTAAATAGATTAGCAATGCCCACATGACACCCCTAGTATAGCAAGCATCCATAGACTACAGTGACTGTTTACCATCAGACAGGCTGTAGGCTTGTTTGCTGCCTTTGTAGTATAAAAAAAATATCCTGTCAGAACTACCTTCATGTGGCCTCTCATGGATATAGTCATTTTAAATTTCTTGTAAATTTGACATGATGGACAAACTGATCTGATTTTATTATCATCATTTCATTTCATAATCCATAATTGTCCTCTAATACCATCAGCATTAGAGGGTCCATTATTCCATCTTTTTCATTCAGTAGAAAAAATATGTTTTACACTATACATATTAATATTGTAATCTGTATTACAGCACCTGTAAACATGGTTGATCAAGAATGTAATTTACATTCTTGAGAAACCATATGATATACATTATAATCTACTTCAATTGCCTTATGGTCTCGTCATAGAATGGGCCGCCCCTTAATTATCTGTGGGTGTCATAAGAGGTGACTAAGGATCTGATACTGATAAAGGGATGGGCAACAGCATCCCTCTTAAAACATCACCTAATCCTAACTGCAGTTGTCAACCTATTTGCTATGTGTGGCAATTATTAACAACCCTTTTCCCCCTTTTGGGATAGACCTATGTTCAGCAGTGGATATTTAATGGCTAATATGATTCAAGTTTTGTTAAAATTATCACAGAAACACTTTAAAAATAAAGTTAACAACAAATGAAAACAATCATTTAATTTGCTTTTTTATTTGTACTAGGTACTATTGGATATCAGTAGCTAATGGCCAAGTCAATTATTAGTTTCTTTACAATTTCATAAAATTTTATTAAAATAGACTATATATTTTCATACATAATTACTCTCTTTGGCCAATAAAGCATTAACAATGCTTTCTTCATATAATGGACAGTGTTTCTTATAAGTACTTATCTACCTAAACTATGTAAATTCCATAAATGTCAAATCCAGATTGAGTGCATTTTAATTATAATTCTTTTTAATTTTCAGTTCCATAGAATTGCAACAAATCAAATATTTCACAAGAAGGAATGGTGAATTTGAAGAAAATATTAAACAGGTATACTATTATTATGTCAATTTAATTTTGTTATAGTATTTAAGAACCACTGACACCTGATAATTTTATTTTTTCAGAATGCATCCTTAGTGATGAGTCTAGCAAGTTTGCAACAAGTTAATGTGGAAAATCTGCCACCACTGACACATAAAGAAATTGACATGAGCACAAACACAAATATTAGTAAATGTGTACAACATGAAACATTTAGAAATAGCTCAGGAATGGATGACAGTCAGTAGAACACTTTAATTATGCTTGAATTAGAATTATATCTGGTAATAGTACAAAATTTTCCATAAACTTATATTTTCCTATTTTATGTCCAGTGTAGTTGTTTCTTTACCCAATAAATATTTTAAACATTTTCAATATCGCTTTAATTACAAATAAATATCATAATACAAGTCACCTATTAATTTTTTGATGAAATTATATAGCTGAGAATTAGAATTTTTACTTAAGTCTCGATACCAAATAAATGTCATGATATTCATTTACTATCTGTTAACTTGTTTGTGTTGTACTTTATTTATAAGTAATATAAGAGAAGATAGCATTAAGGTAATATGAATAAAAATATCATTTGTATATAAAACTTTATTCAATATCCATAACTAATATTAACATCACATATAACTTACAAAACTTTATTAATTTATTATATAAAGATACATTTAAGGCAATGAATTTACTAAAATATAATTATAATGAGTTATATCATAATTTTGCTAATCTATAACATAGGCCGAAATAAAGTTAAGATTGAGATATTTTGCTCTATTAAAAGGAACTTTCTTGAAGTCCAAGATTAGAGGTAGTTTAATAGCTAAAGGTAGTTTTGGCGCCAAATGGTATATAATAATATGGAACATAATTTGATTTTCATTTAATGCATTATAAAATTTTCTCATAATTGAATTTGATAGTAACATGCAATATTCATACAGCTAATGCTCCTTTAAATTTTATTTACTTTATAAATTGATATACTGTGTTCAGTGTAGAAAAAACATTTCATTTATTTCAATCAATAATTCATAAATGATAATTAATATAATATAAAACCCCATTAATAATAATTGACAAGCAATATTGTTAGCATAATAATATATATGATGCTAAAACACCTTCTCCAGTATAATTATTGCCCGTTTAACATTCGACTCGTAATGGGATCTTCTTTTCCTTAAGCCATGGTAACAGCTTACAGACTAGATACAATATACTATGACTATACTAAATCTTATTGAAATAACGCAGCTTTCTCTTTAAACATTTGCCTCCGTAAGGCCTTCTCTTCGGCTTCCCTTCTTTTCTCTTCTTGTTCCTGGATGATCTCGTCGTGAAACTTGTTTGATTTAGAGAGTTCTTCGATTTTTGCTTCGAAGAAATTTTTAGCTCCATTGACGCCTACTTCTTCCACGTTTATCTCAGTAAGTCGCGCAAGTGCTTCGAGACCTGAATGTGACTCGAGTTCTCCAGCACGTGCTTTCCTGAAAAAAATTTAGACAAACATAAATATCGAGTAGTCATAAATGCATAAAACCGATCAGAACAATACAAACATCATCTCAATTTATTTTATTTATTTAATTTTTTACCGCTGCATTACAAATAAATGTTTGGTACAAAAGGTGGACTTAATACTATATAACAGTCTCTCCCAGTTAACCTTTGATAAAACAGAAATGTAATTTTGCGGTGAAAAATAGAAACTTCAATAACTAGGTACTTAAAATATTTTATTATTTAATAAAATTGTAATATTTTGTTGCGGTTTTGGCGGAAAATTGTAATATTTTGTTGGTACCTGTAAATAAGTAAAAATTCTCTAAAGCTAATTTTATTGTCTCCATCCTCGTCTACTTCAGCGATCATAGCTTTAAGACCAAGATGTGTCTGTGGTGCACCAAGTCGTTCCATCATGCGTTTCACTTCCGTTAAGTCCAAAAAACCATCGCGACCCTCGTCAAATCTGTAGATGAAAAAAATATTAAATTAGAAATAATACTTAAATGGCCTCATTTTTTTAAGCAGGGTACCCATGTGTTACAAGAACTGCATGAGTAAGTCAATTCTTAGAACACCTAAATTGGATTCGTGGATAATTTTCTAATTTTAATCCCGCTAAGAATAGAGCTAAAGATAGTGTTTTGAACTCGGTGGGATCCAGTTTAGAAAATTTTACGTGAAACAGTTCAATTTACTTTAGGATAACTGACTACGAAATAGACAAAAAAGGTCTCTAGCGAAGTTATAGAACTGCATAAAATATGTATACAGGCGTTTCAGGAGGAAGAAACTGCTCTGAACAGTACGGACTCATGTTATGGGAATAATCCCAGTATTCTGTGATAATCCCTATTGGTAACGGACGTTGCGATGGTATGGTATGGATGCTATATAATAAAGTAGTGGATGGACATATTGTTAAAGAGTTTTTCAGAACACAGTATACATTACACGCTATCATATTGATTTGATATATGAAAAATATTACGTTAGAATTACTATAATAGTGTTCATTCCAGAATGAAAGGTTCATAAAGAAGTATATGATATTTAGTAAAAAGACAGTTGGCGCTGTACCTACATATCGAAACCGATATCATGCCACGGAATTCCTAATAGTACTAGCTACCGTTGCAATTCGTAATAATGGAAAGAAGGACCGTTACGCATTATGAGAGTTCCTTTGTTGTTTTGTACAGTGAATGTTAATTTTCAATATGTCACACTTTCACCTACTTACCTACTGTAAGTATATACATAAGAATACTACTAATGTAAAATAAAACGTGTATAATTTGGTGTTTATATACCTTTAGGTGTTATCACGAGTATTAAGTTACAAATTTTTATTTACAACATCGTCCGCGGTATTGAAACATATTGGTTGACCAAGATAAAAAATAATGTCTTTGTCCATGTCAAACAGATATTGATTTTACACCAATTTGAACCAATTAGTACTAATAAATAATTAAAACAAATAAACTCGTATTTACATGTATAGTTTGTTATATTTAACCAAAACAAAACGTTTTGCACAGCGGATAGATCTTATAATTAAATAAAAAATATTAAAGTTATATTTTTATTTATTCATTAAAAATAATAACAACATTATAACAGCAAACACCAAATCAATGTTATAAATCTAGTGTGCTAACATACAAAGTTATAATAAATATATTTAACCCGAATCTAGATATTTCTGAGCCGCTTCTAATGTCTTTGGTAGGCTACTACTAAATATATTAATGATGCTTATAATATTATTTAATAAACTTACTGCGTGAGTTAAGGGAGTGTGCTGAAGTAGGTTAGTTCTTACTATATAATAAAGCCGTATGAAAAAAATGACTTAATTTACTTAAATACGTACTAAATCAATCTTAGAAGTAAATTTTGCTGTTAACCATATCAAGTAGCGAGTTTATAGTACAAGGACGGTTAGTTTATTTATAGAAAATAATATAGCTAAGTACATATGAATATAATGTTTCTACAAGTCCTAATTACCGTAACGAACTAAGAACTCGTACTAGATCGCAAGAAGACTCATTTATATGCGACATGCGTTACATCTACCTAACCACTTTGTCGTACTTACTCATATTTCGACAGTCTGTCTGTATGTAAATCGCTAAAATAAGCACAGTTCATGAACATCTGATTTCATTTTTACCAAATTTAATATTGCAATACTATATGTCACTATAGCCTGAAACAGCCCAAATAAAATGAAAATTTATGGCGTGCACCTTTATTTATATAGACAATAGCCGTATAATGGGAAAAAATAAAAGTTTAAATCCAATATAAATAATATATCTGCTTGCATATTATTAACGATATATCTGTTTTTTATTTAAGATGTTTTTGTTTAAGTCGATGAATTTTGTTGATTAACTTGTGGGCTGTCTTAGCAGTATCAAGGTTTTCAAATAAGGAAAAACGCATTGAAACCAAGCTAAATCTGGGATACTACTCTTGAATTTTTGACAAACCAACATACCTATCTACTTGTTATCTAATAAAGGTGTATTGTATATTTGAATTTAAGATATTTATACTATTTTCATCTCCATTAGTTATCATTTTTTTCATCCACACTAATGTTATAAAAAGGTATTGATTGTTTATTTGTATTGGATAAACTCTAAAAATACTTAACCGAATTTAAAAATCTATTCACCTATAGAAAGCTACATTATCAACTAGTGACATAAGCTATATATTATTTCCGAAAATAAATGCCTATCTACTCGTGCGAAGCACGGGCCGAATTACTATTTAAGTATAATATACCAAAAGATCATAGGGTTGATATACCTGAAAAAGGTAAAATCACTTAAGAATTAAAAATAGACGATCAATTGCCCTTAATCTATAATTATTCAAGTTAAAAATGGTATTGTTTCTAGCGAGAGTTGTCAAGGTTATACAAGGCAAGCTTGTTAGCCTAGCAAAGAATGAAAGTAAACCTGTGTATTATAAAGAAACTAGCCTTCATATAGAGCACGCCGTCGAATATTAAAAAAGTACCTAAATTTTCTCTGCTTATTTTTTAATTTCGCGCAATTTTTTTCTACTATGATATGAAATATGAAGTGAAAATAGAATTGTACCCCCACCTGCGCTGTTGGTATTTACTGACGGTATAACAGTGAGAGATTTTTATTATTAATTCACATGCATGGAGGTCGACTTTATAGGGTGCATTGCTAGCAATGGGGCCATAATCCCCATTACTAACATTCCCTCTCCCTTGTATGTAAATAATTAATGATCACAGTCGTCTCTCATCTTATTTTTTGGCTTGGAAATCGGTTTCAATTACCGAAATATATTTGTTCTATGACCAAAGCTTCGAATTAGTACACATATTACTAACTTATTAATCAATAATAAATATTTACCTAAGATGGAAAGAGACTCATTCCGACCCCTCATTATTTGCTTATTGCGAATTCCGTTAATACGCTCACACGACCCAGATTTACCCAGTCACCTTTCATCCAAATGTTATATCATAAAAAATGATCTGGCTGACATAAAATATTTAAGTGAACGGATTAACCACAGTAAGTATACGTAATATGTTACTATTAGAAATATAAAAATACTGATATACGCATACCTCCAGCAATACTTCATTATTCCATACTTAATTATCAACAAAATCCTACTCTAAGAAAGAAGTTAAAAAGTTCTCTCATATAACATATTGTGAAAATTAAGGTTCTTCACTTGATCATTTCTGACTTATATCTTTATCATAATGGACCTAAAATAAAGATACAAAGACCTACATATGAAGTTTTATATTATATAATCATTAAATTTAATCGTAACGCGGAAATAAACTATCAATTGCAAAAAAATATCAAAATCATTTCAAAATTCGAAATCAGAGCTTCCTGCTTTTTAAAGTCACCTAAAAAGTATGTAATATTGACGAAAATACCTAATCTTCAGTTTGTTTATTATGATGTTATGGATGAGATACACTAGTCGGTAACTAACCCCATCTGACGGGGGGGAAAAGGATTGTTAGTAATGGAGACTAAAAATCCCATTGCTAGCAATATACCTAACCAGATCGACCTCCACGCGGTTCCCCCTGGAAACTATCATGATTAATTCCTGATGAATTCATCATGATAAGCGAACTGGCCTGTTATTATCATCGATCGCCCTTTACTGGTGCTCCGCCAGCGTATTCCATTAGCGCAGGCGGAGTTACCAATCCATTTTCATCCAACAAAAAAAAAACCCCATCTGACGTCGCTGACGTCTTATTCAGTTAGGTATTTACAGGCACATTAACCTTACTGTATCTGTTATTTTTTTCTATGGAACAATAGGCGTTCCTGAATACAAAAATCAAGTGCTTACATAATATTATCTATTTATACTGATTTCTCATTTTTAATACATATTACTCTATAATTATTATAATACTTGCTTATGTCAAACAAATTCATTTTAGAGTGTAGAAATACGTTTGATTATTTTCCTTTATTTGAAAGATCTACAATAAAGTAAAAGGAAATTTTGCTACTTTATCTAGATAATAAATAGAAAATATTTGATTGGTTTTACCAATTACTATTTATTATCCAAATAATAGAAGGTGTCAATTAAAAATGGGGAAATGCATGTTACTGGTACGTTGGGCATGTGGAAGATAAGTAGCATAAAACAAATAATACAATTCGAAAGTGGAAATATATAAAACACAGGGACAAATGACTAAAACTAACCTATATTGATCAGATAGACCAAATGTTATCCGAGAATGAAGTCAAGAGTTTCTGAAATCGGAATATTAGACGAGTATAAGTAAATGAATCTGGAAATCTGTGTAAGGACTATATCTTTTAGCCATTTGGCTCTGAGTCCTCTTTTTGAAGTGGGTTCCTAATGCCGGATTCATTAATCCATCCATTATCTTTAAGTCACTGCTAATAGTCACGTCCGGGGGGAAAGGGATTATTAGTGATGAAGACTGAGAATCCCATTGCTAGCAATATACCCAACCAGGTCGACCTTCTCGCGGTTCCCCCTGGAAACTATCATGGTTGATTCCTGATGAATTCATCATGATGGGCTAACTGGCCTGTTTTCATTCTCATCTATCACCCTTCACTGGTGCTCCGCCAGCGTATCCCGTTAGCGTCGGCGGAGTTACCATTCCATTTTCACCCATCAAAAAAAAAAATATATATATATATATATATATAATAATATATATATATATATATATATATATATATATATATATATATATATATATAAAAATACCTAGATAATAATCATTTAATTAATTTCAAAAATATAATAGGTATAAGTGGGGATATAGCTTCAAATATATGAAACCATTATTTCATATACCAACATTATCTAAATATTGCTATATTTAGACAAAAGTTTTATGTATTTACCCACTTAAATATTATTCATTGC